AACAACAACAACAACAATGTAAGTGTTCAGCTCATATGCCTGTCTTGAGCACGTTACTCTTTCCTTTTCCAGTCGTTCTTCTCCTTCAATGTTCTCTCTGTGATTGTAGTTTTTATTTGAGTCTCAGACTATTTGACACCTCCACAGTTATTTAATTTCTTCCACAGTTTCTCAGAGTTGTTACATGCCACTCGGCTATTTTTACACTTCTTAAAACTTCCAAATCTTTGACAAAGTAATACAATCTCAACATATATGACTCTTATAATGCTTTCTTAAACTGTATTAACAGTAGTCAACACCTATTAAGCATCAGAAACTGTTCCAAGGGATTTATCTGCATTGACTCAATAAACTCACATAGTGACTAGATGGCAAATAACAACAACAACAACAGAGGTCAGAAAGAATGGGGGCGGGACTAGAGTTTGGAGGGACAGCCACATTGGGCGAATTAGAGTAGAACGTGAGGACTAGCTTAGAATTTTGGGTCAGAGCTCTAATTGGGCCCAGCGAAGTGTGGTTGCAAGAGGCCGAGGCAGCGAGATTGCCCAGGCCTGGGATTAGGTTTTGGGAGACAGGGCCTAGGAAGGTCTGGTTCGAATTTCAGGTGGAGGGAAAGGGGGGACGTATTCCAGAGGGCTCTCCTGATGGAGGTTGGTTTAGGCCAGGGACGAGGGTGGCGTTCGAGAGGACAGCTTCAGGCCAGGTGGCTGTCACTCCACCTCACCAGTGGCTGCTCGTTGGAAACAGAATGTGTGTTGGGGGTAAATGCTGCTTCGTGGGTACCCTGAGCGGATTAAACGAGTCAGAGGCCCATAAACCGCTTAGCGGGCCCAGTTCCTGCAATCCTCCTTTCGGGGTGAGGGGCGGGGCTGGACGGGGAGGGTGTTCCGGGCCCTGGTGGAGGGCACAGGGGAGGGGTGGGGAGACTTCTCGCCCACTGACCGCCCTTCTCTCCCCAGAGGCGGCCCCGGAGGCCCAGGAGGCGGCGGAGATGTCCGACTTCCAGAGGGTGCGTTTCTGCAAGGTGGTGGCGGCTGCTCCGTCTCCGGGGGCTGCCCGCTGACCGGGCCTCTGTGCTCCGCGCTAACCTCGCGCTGCCCTGCTCCTCTGTCCTCTGCTTGCACCACACTTCAGCCAGGAGAGGGTTAAATAACAGAGGGGAGGAGCCGGGGGTAGGGAATGGGGCCAGGGCAGTGGTCTAGCCCCAGCTCTGGGGGAAATCCGGTCCCCAGCGGTCCCCAGCGCGGGCTGAGACGCCCCGAGTCACCCACGTGTGGATGCCGTGGGCGACTAAGGGCCAGTCCTCGGGCCGAATGTCCTGCTTCCAGAGGCTAACATCTGGGCATGGCAAACAGCCGGTGACTCTTCCAAGGACTTGGATTAAATGCAGTGCTTCCGCTGACCTTTGAACTGTGTTCCTGCGGGGCAGGCTGGGCTGCTGTGCTTGCGGGCTTTTCCGTGGCGGGAGAGGTGGGGTTCGGGGTCATCTTCACCCCCTTGATACAGCTTCCCTCCCTACTCCCGCAGGGCTCCCCGAATATCTGAAGACGCTCCAGCGAGGGGCCTGAAGCATCCCCGCCTTGATGGGGGAGGGTAGGCAGGAGGGGGCTTACCTGGGTCTCCGGGCTGCGCTCTCACCTCTCCAGAGCCCGCTGCGGACCCTGAGCTGTAGGGAGAGGGAAACGGTGGGGGTGAGGAGCTGAGCCAAGGGGCGGGGTTGGGATATGGGTGGAGCTAGGCCTGAGGTTGAGTCCGAAGGGGACTGCTGGAGGTAGTGGGAGGAGGAGGCAAGTACCACGGGAGGCGTGGTTTGGGTGGCGGCTAGTCGGTTCCGATCCCTCGCAACTCTGTGGACACAGAGCAGAACGCTGTGGCCCTGCGCCACCCTCACAGCCCTTGTTGTGTGTGAACCCGGCTCAGCCACTGACAATCCATCCTTGAGGTGCTCGCTGGCTTACACTGACCCTGTTTGTCGGTGCGTGACGTCTGCCAAGGTTAGCCCCTCGTGACAGCATGTCCTGAGTGCATGAGAGAAGTCCACCAGCCTTGCAGGCTAAGGAGCAGCCTGGCTGGCCTTCCATTCTTCTAAGACAGATTTGTTCTTCTGGCAGTCCGTGGTGTGTTAACTCTTTACCAACACCATAATTTTTTTCTTTCCAATTTTTCTTTGGACTTCATTATTCATTGTCCAGCTTTCACATGCATGAGAGGCAATTGAAAATACTACAGCGATCAAGTGCACCTTAGCCCTCAAAGTGACGTCTTTGCCTTTAACACTTTCAAGAGGTCTTTGGCAGCAGATTTGCCCAACGCAGTATGCCGTTTGAGTTCTTGACTGCTGCTTCCATGAATGTCGACAGTGGATTCCAGTCCAATTAAACCTTGACGACATCATGGTGTCACTTATTGGTGCAGTTGTGAGGATTCTGGTTTTGTGTTGACACAGAATCCATTCTGAAGGCTGTGTCTTTGATCTTTATCGGCAAATGCTTCAAGTCTTACTTTGCAAGCCCGGTCATGTCATCTGCATATTACAGGTTGTTAATGAGTCTTCCTCCAATCCTGATAATGCGTTCTGCTGCATATAGTCCGCTTTCTTGGATTCTTTGCTGAGCATAGAGATTGGACAAGTATGGTGAAATAACAGAACCTGGACACACACTGTTCTTGATTTTAGACCATGCAGTATCCCTTTGTTCAGCTTGGAGGACTGCTCCTTAGTCTATGTGCAGGTTCCTCACGAGCACAGTTATGTTCTGCGATTCCCATTCTTGACAGTGTTATCCATGATTTGTTAGGATTCACACAGTCGAATGGCTTTTTATAGTCAATAAAACATAAGTAGACATCTTTCAGGTATTCCTTGCTTTCAGCCAAGATTCATATGTCTTAGGCTGGGTTCCCTAGAGAAGCAAAGCCTGTGAATGTGTGTGTGTGTGTGTGTAAGCTCTGGTGGCGCGGTGCCTAAGGCACGTGACTGCTAACCAGAAGGCTGGCGGTTCAAACCCATCAGCCACTCCTCAGAAGGAAGACTGGACAACCTACAACCTACTTCTGTAGA